CCATAGACAAGGTTTTACGTGCTAGGTTGACCTACAGTCAGGCTACATCAGTCAGCGTAAATTTGCATTGCTTCGCCTAGTCAGTACGTTGTTGTAGCACTATCGCTTCGTTAGCGCAAGGACTGAATGACACTTGAATCCACCCCTGAGAAGATGTCGAAGCCTATAGTTCAGATACGCGACTAAGTTCAGTCGGTTAAGGAGAAACCCACATAAGCCTGGTCGCTGTCGCAGGCATCGGAGGGCACTGGCGAAAATCTTGTTCGTTATACAAAGTCCTGAAACATGTAAACCCTGATGTATGACACAGTGTTGTCCCCCTGATGAAGCAATCACGAAGGATCGATAGGCCAATTAGTATGGCTCAGAATAGGAACAGCATTCTCCATGACAGCGAGGATATATGGCGTAAAGAGGAAATGATGGGGGCCCAGCCGACAGTTCTACAGTCATGACCGACGATGTCCACTGTGTGCTCCATAACAGGATGAGAGCAGGGACGGTGACTTACGCGGGAGTTTGTTTAAGGTGGTAGTAAACTTTCGCTGCACCTACCACACTCCCTCTCATCCTCCCCACCTGGATCAGGTGTCAAGACAGCGTCAAGAAGACCGGAAGCAGGAGATGACGCCGGTGACTGGCATGGCGTAAATCCGCACCTAGGCGTACCGCCAAACCCGCAACGTACACTGACTAAGATAGACAAAATGCTATTACCGACAAAGACAAGGGAGACTGGAATGGCCATTTCTGGCTTATTAGCCGTCGTCAGCCAGCCATACCCAAGCCCGAAGTGTGGAACACCCGAGCCTCGAACTCGCGACCTGCTGGTTTAGAAGTCCACGCCTCTACCCACCGAGGCTCGGTTGTTCCACACTTTGGGGTTGATTATGACTGGCTGACGACGGCTAATAAGCCAGAAATGGCCATTCCAGTCTCACTTGTCTTTGTCGCTAATAGCATTCTGCCTATATATCATGCGCCGCTGTGCGGCTGCTGGTTGGGCTCGAGAGAGAGCCCTTAAGGCACAACGGAACGAGTGAGTTCCGTGAGACCGATCGGTGAGCGTCCCCTACCACTGACTAAGATTTTACACAAGAAGAGAAAATGGGGGGACGGCTCAGATTCCAGTCGGTGCGGTATACTTCTGCATCTGGGCCTGCCATCACATCCCACTGTTGGCATCTGCTATGGATACGCATTACCGATAATGCCTGACGGACTCTGGTCTAACTCCTGCATTGGTTCAGCGCCTGTTAAAGGACCAGTGGGAACTGAGCCGGTGACGTTGGGAATCCATGCTATCACTAGTAATCCCCGTACGTGTTGCACGCGTTTGAAGGCGGCATTCACGTCAGGTCAGTCACTGCACCCAATTTCATAACCAGTGGAGAAAGCAGCTCCGACACCTGCGTGGTGCATAAGAGAAAAAAGATAACCAAGTCAACTTTGGGAGGGGGGCTAGTCCATTCTCATGGAGAATCAGCTCACTCCCTCGCCATAATACATCTGGCGCGCCTACTAAACCTGCCAAAACAGGTTAAACGTCCTGGTCTGCAGGGTTGCCAAACCCGATGGGGTAAAATGATCCTCCTAGGGAACGGAGGGGAGCGACCTACATTATCTACAGCACGACTTATGCTAAGTCCGAGTCCCTGAGAGGTAGACTTTACGCCACGCCGGCCACTACGCCCTATCTCATACTCAGTTGCTGTGATTCAGACAGCCCACTGGTATAGAGGAGAGGTAAGGGGGACTGAAGTTGAATCAGCTCTGATATAATACCCAATGCCTCACAACCAACAACAAAACACCATTTGAATCTACCGCGGGGGGGGGGGGGAACCGGAGGACCTGATGGGTTGTCATCTGATGAGACTACGCGGTCCTTCTCAAAGTCCATCAGTAGACTGCAAGAACTCCTTCTAACTGTGATCTTTATGATATATTCACTTGTGGAAATCAGAGAGAGAGGTCATGTGGGGCACGCGGAGACAGGATGCTCAGTTTTGCCTGCAGACGCGCTAATGAAGAAAGAGACACGATGGCTGGGACAAGAGCTTTATTAGCCTGACTTTTGGGATTCCTGCTCGAACCCATCATCAGAGACAAAAGCAGCTACAGGCGGTTCATGCACAATGGGCTGCACAGTTTATAGGATGCAGTCGCCATGCTACCGCATACCTAAGAACATTCACGGCTCCCCCCTTCATCAGGTATCGTTGCGTGTGGTGCGATAGCCGACATTCGCGTCGTTAATTGCTACAATTTCATCTTGTGCGTTGGACGTTGGTGTGATGATTGCTCGACCATCTGACGCACCGACCCTAGTGTTGGGAAACGTGGTCACCTGTGCGCTCCCCGCGTGGCCAGTTACTTCGCCTAGGCGAAGTCTCAGCACCGAGTATGGAAGGGGGAGTTCATTGCACTTGTTAATGGACGGGGGGCCAGTAAACCTTAGGGAGGCCATAGAATCGAGCCAAAGCCGTAGCTTGGAGTCTCGCCATGCGTCTGTCGGTCGGAGTTATTGCACCTGAGTTTTCCATGGCCAACAACGTAGCATTAATTTCGCGTGTCAGCGCTTTTACAGGGTCCTTTGCACATGGGACATAGAACTGTCGGTCGTCCAGTAAACCTTTGGCTTTTTGAAGGTAATCTGTCCTGTCCAGTACAACCGTGGAGCGCCCCTCGTACGCCAATGCCCATATCCGGCCGTTTGGGTCACTGGGAAACGGTAGGTTTCGGAAGGTACAGTCCGCCTGAGCATATAATTACTGCCTTCAATCCACATCAGCCGTTGAACCCATTCTCATCAGTCCTTGGTTTACCGGCTGCGACAGTCGACCGGCGCATGGAAGGAAGAAAGGATGGGGAGGCCTACATCAACACCTCCCCATAATCAACACCCTAATTTCTATATACGTAAAGATTTGAGGTCCAGACATTGTATCGCGTTCACCATCTCCTGAAGAAGACGAAGAAGAAGAGAGGGCGAATTCATAGACCATATTGTATTCAAACTGACGTTTCGGCAACTTCCTCGTTTCCATCATCAGAGTAGCGTACTTGTTGCTCCTGTCGGTCTTGAGTTGTTCAGACTTACTGCTTGCCTCGTATTATAGCCGTGCTCGACGTACGAACTTTGACCTGCCTGTTTGCCGCTGACTGGCCTAGACCTCCCCGGGGCTGACCGCTGACAGGCCTGCGTGACCTTTGTTCCATTTTGGGTCGGCGTAATTATAGTCAAATAAACGTGCCAGTTGGCCTCTCCTACGTCAACCGGTGGACTGATCGGTCGTTGCTGTTCGTCTGAGCAGCATTCAACTTCGCGGGCGCATCGGTGAGGCAGTGTTCGGATTTGGTCACATGACCTCTGGCCACCAACTCCGCTCTTTTCCTTGAGCGTTGACTCTCGGTCTCGCGTGCTCGCTTGCCTTACTGGTCCTGTCCGGACTGATCCGAGCCTTGTACGTAGCGCCTGGTAGGCGGGATGTAGATCTATAGCTCGGTTGAGGGTGTCAGTCTAGGACGAAATTTCGAGCACCAGTCTGGCCATCTTCTCATTGGCTCGACCAACTGCCCTCGCTTTCTCGAAGGCAAAATCGTGGTTCAGTTCATGTATGTGACCATAGACCAAAGACAGCCTGTCCTTGTGGTTTATTGCAAGTTGGTGTTCGTGCAATCTTGTACCGAGGCGTTTGCCCGTTTCGCCAACATACCTCGCATTGGAATTTAGGCATGGTATGCTATAGACCACCGCCGACTTTTCTGTTCTTGGTAGCGAGTCTTTGGACTTCATGATTGGCTGTCTGATGGTGCATTCCGGTTTATGAGCCACGCCAATCCCAAAAGGTTTCACGATTCTCGCCGTCGCCTCTGATATGTTCTTCATATAGGGTATTGAGATCCATAACTTGGGCTTTTCTCCACTCGACCGTTCAAAATGAGGCTTTTTGAGGCAATTGTATATGAAGGACTCCTCTCTATAACAAATATGACGTGCTTTAACCCATCACGACACGCTAGATGTTTTGATTTGAAAGGTTGTCAACTAGTCGAATGTCTGGGTCTTCCCGAGGGCGGGTTGCAATGGTTCTCTTCCAAACTTTTATAGAACTAATTTGCGTTTTTCAACAGATTTTAATAATTCATTCGACCCGACGGGATTCTAACCCACAACAGCAGGGATAAGGCGTGAGTACAGCCAGTGCTCTAACAACCTGAACTAAGAGGCCACACCAGGAGCCGTGGGTTTGATCGAATTTGGGTCAAGTTACCCGTGTAACCTACTGCAACATGTGGAATCCACCAATTTCGATACAGGAAGCTGATTGCCTAAACAGAATTTACTAAGTAATCAATCTAGAATCTACCATATGACTACAAGGCTCGCCTAATTAATTGGCGTTTATAAAACTCCCCACTATGTAACATCCCAGTCGACCTCACAGAAGCCCGGTACATGTTTTGGGGATCAGATTGTATGCGGTGTGCCTAGACGTGCAGTTTAACATTGTCGGCCATTGCGCCCCTGTTCACCTCCGGCCATCTTGACATTGTCTTGCCACTAGAGAAGAGTGGCTGAGGGAGAAGAGAGTGCGGTAGGCGCTACGCAAATCTACTCGAGCTATAAACGAAATCGGCGCTCCCGGGCCCAGTTTACGAGACACGCGGTGGATGTCGTCACTTAAGACGTTCGTCACTGTCCATAAAGAGATTCACCTGCAAGCCACGACCCCACCCATCGCTCAGCGCAGTGATGGGCCTGTCGAGCGGATTTGACCCCAAAACTGACAACACTGGTGAGTCAGAACTAAGTGGAATGCTAATTCCCCCATGAACGAGTGTTCCGGGCGGAGTCCTATTCATTATAATGAGAAACCATCGAATGTTTTGGCACAAGTAGGCCGGGCAAACGTCCGCCTCAGATGTAGCACCCAGCCGCGTTTTCAGAACTAAGAACACGTGTGGACACAATGAGAGAATCCAATTACTACCCTTTACGGGCACCGCAATCTATCCTCCTTCTCCTCCTTCCCCTCCTCCTTCTCCTCCTTCTCCTCCTCCTCCTCCTCCTCCTCCTCCTCCTCATCATCATCATCATCATCAGCAGCATCATCATCCTCCTCACCCTCCTCCTTATGCTTCACCTCACCGACGTGATGATATCATACCTGGATTAGACGGATTATGACAAGCGTAATGGTGGTAGGATGGCGAGCCGGACAACAGTTAGCCTGTCTTTCTGATTCGCGCTTGAACTGATTATCGATGACTCTTACTTGCCCATAAGAAGCAGCTATATCACTAGGGTGTAAGATCCTCATTCTGTAGAAACGTACAATTGTATCCGTCAAACCGCACTTCGAATGTTCATGTGTTCTCTCTCCAATGATACTGCTGTCTGCTAGTCAACTCTAATACTTCTTGTGAATATGAATTAATAATCGCTAGAGGGAAGTAAGTCATCCAATCGAATTTAGAGCGCTCGATTAGTACTCAGGAGCAAATATTCTTGTAAGGAATAGGACGAAATTTCTTTCCAGCTTACCTGACTGGCATACCCTGAATTATTTCAATGCATCCGAGGATAGCAGGGAATATTTTTTCAGCATCGGCAGCCAGCAATCTAAGTCGAATTCATCAACTTTCTGGGTGGCGCTCGCATGCATCCAACCTCCCCCCCCCCGTCAAACGCTAACCCGGAGATGCAGCGACCTTCAGGCTCCGGCACATTTAAAGGACTTACACATGATTAGCCCTCGTGAAAATCTCCCACAAGTGCCAACGTGTTTGACATCAAGGTCTGGGAACCTGATTTTGCTTTGGCAAACAGTTCACAGCAGTCAGCGTCAATGAGGCGGCAGGCTCCGCTTGGCTTGATAGGACTCTGCAATGATGGCACGGCAGGCTAACATTCAGGGCAGTTCTGACTTAAAAATGTTTAAATGCCATCCTTGTGTTCAGGGGCTGCAAAGTTCCTATTTCAGACTGTCGACTGTGGCATGAGTGAGGGAAGAAGATGTGAGGTCGATGCTGGTTAACCCATTTTTACGGCAAATCAGTGTATTCGTCATTGTAATAAATGCGAAACGCTTAACATATATCATAACGTGCCTAGAATCATGGCAAAGAAGGTTGTCAACTGATAGGATAATTTGGTCCCTTTCCAGACAGCGAATCAGACTGCAATGGCACCTTCGCAATGTGACCTTTATGGCACTTCTCCACGAATGAGGTTCGAGACGCCAATACAGTAGCCTGGTATAATTCAGTATAATTCAGCATACATGAGGGATATAGGCAGAGCCTTGGAAAACCCTATTTACAGATAGACTTTTGAAAAAAACATGCAGATATGCAGTTATGCCAGTCATTGATATCGTGTAAATGTTTGACCATCAAGCACAAATTTATCTAGTCTTCTTTTGAAGGTCTCAACGTTTTCCGCTAAGACAACAGAGTTCGGCAATTCGTTCCACCCTTCAGCCAGCCGGTGGGAGAAGAATTTGGCCCGCAATTCAAGTTTGGCATATTTCCTCTTCAAGTTGTGTTGGTGCTCTCGAAGATTTGTCGTCAGTTCGAAGAAATTGTCAAACTGAAGAGCACATTCTAGCCCTCTGATGATCCTGAAGACCATCATCACATCCCCTCTGCATTGTCTATAAGAGAGAGAAAATATTTTTAGCTTTTTTCAGGCGTCTCTCATAAGGTAAGCAACTTAATCCACTGACCAGCTTGGTTGCTCTTCGTTGTACGTTCTCCAGCAGGGTGTAACCTTGTTTCGTCCAGGGACACCATGCCTGAACACAATATTCCAACATTGGTCGAACGAATGCTCCAAATACTCGGCCGAAAAGTTCTTCGTCAAAATTGAGGAAGGATCTTCTAATAGCGCCGAGGATACCCATAGCTTTCTTTGATATCATGGCGCAGTGAGACGGTGGTTTGAGAGTTGACATCGTCCACACACCGAGGTCTCTTAACTCGTTGACTGATTCGAGTTGGTGACCTCCAATAAAGTACTGAGATTCGAATCTCAACGGCCTCCTGTTGCTCGATCGTAATCGGATAAGTGGGCCATTGTTACGATTGAGGCTAAGGCACTGCTCATTACACCACTGTTGCAAGCGATTCAGATTTTTTTGTAACTGTAGAGAGTCTTCCGGCTTCTCTATTGATTTCCACAATTTGAGATCATCGGCAAACATTACGCGCTCGCAGTTCAGACCGTACACCCAGTCGTTCACATATATTAAGAACAGAACTGGACCCAAAACGTTCTCCTGCGGAACGCCACTGTGGACGGATGCCCATTCCGATTTAGTGTTTCGGATACACACACGCTGAGATCTGCCCGTAAGAAAATTGGCTAACCATTTCAACAGATTTCCATTCACACCCACTTGACGTAGTTTAAATATAAGTCGTCTGTGTGGAACACTGTCAAAAGCCTTTCTGAAGTCAATGTACACGGCGTCGACTGATAAACCCATGTTGATTAATTTCGTCCAGCTCTCCATTGACACAAGCAGGTTAGTGAGACAGGATCGACCCCTTCGAAATTCATGCTGATGGTACAGTGGGTGTTAACCGAAATTCCGAAAGGTGCTTTCTGTTCGAAAAGGCAACTTGAGTAGAGTTGTAATACTAATAATTTTGCAGCAGAATCCCAAGATATTTCAGCCATATCAGAAGGTCAGTTGTTGAAAGAGCCTCTTTCGGCCATCTGTATAAAATACATCCGATAAAAAATGTTACTTAAGTATTTTGCACTTTTTATATCGCTCTTCGATAATCTTATAGATAGAAATATATTTTATAGAAATGACGTACAAAAGTATTCGCTCTTTTACTCATTCGGTAGCAAATTGTACTTCCTTTCGATTTTGTACTCGAAGGAAGCGTGTCTTCGGTTTTAAAAGTTTGTTAACATGAGGTTTTTAAAACCATGAAATTTCCATTCGTAAAGCACCTCATTTCTACATTTATTAATGCTGCTTGTAAAGTATACAAAAGGGTTCAAATTCACCACAAAATTTTATGAACTCCATATGGTATTTCCTTAATAGCGCACAGAAACGCATGATTTTCCGTACATAGAAAGCATACAGCTTGTAGTTTTGCAACCTTGTATCCAAGTGTGACGGCAAGTCATGTTTAATATTACTCGGGAACGGGTGAAATTTGCTACCGAATGTGTAAAAAAACAAATATTTTTTGCATGTTTTCCGCAAAACATATTTGTATTTACAAGAACACCGAAAATCGGTAGGAAAACACATACTACTTAAGTAACATTTTTTATCAGGTGTAGTTTATGCAGACAGCCAACAGAAGCTCGTTCAACAACCGACATTCTGATACGACTTAGATATCTTTGGGTTCAGCTGCACGATCACTAATATTAAAACTCTACTTAAGTTACCTTTTCGAATCAAAAACACATTTCAGAATTCCGGTTAACGTTTCTATTGTACACGTAGCGGAGAACCAGGTCGCGTGTGGCAGTTGTAGACGGTTTGTCTAGTTTTTTGCTCCTGTACCCAAACCTATCTCCGGCCGTCTTGTCATCGCCTTTCCGTCGAAGCAAGGCGGGTGAGTGAAGAGAGAGTGTGATAGATGCTGCGCAAGTCTGCCCCACTATAGGTAGGTTTACGCACAAGCTGCCGGTGTTGCATTCACGCCGCGGACAACGGGTGGAAGTCGTCGCCTGCGACGGTCGATCTGTCACTATGTAAGTCGGGTCTTCAGAATGTGAGCGAGGTGCGTCATTTGTTTGTGGACTAGGAAAATTCTCCAACGTAATCCCTCCAGAGGTATAACCTAACAAATCAAAAATCTCACCTAAGTAGGGGGAAAGGACGCGTCCGGCAACAAAAAGCCCGATCATCAATTAAGTTGCCGAAAGCTGAACTAAACACTGATAGTAATGTAGTATTTTCCACTTTAAAGGTGGTTCCGTGTGAAGAGATTAGACAGCAGTTAAAACTAAAGTTTTAAAGGACGACATTTACCTCGTAAATTGTTAAGTAATACACCTATGCGGAAATTACACGCCTTGTACATACTTGTATTATAGGTGGTCTGGAGAACTGGTCCAACCATATTCTTATTCAATATGTCCTAGGTTTTTAGATATTGGTTAATTTCCGTTTCTATTCCCTATGACCAACGGGGTAAGAGTCGGTTACGCTGTCCGGGTCCCAAGTGTAAGCGCAAGCCGGGCATTAAAAATAAAGTAAGCCGAAGTAGGATGTTGAAATTGTTAGTGGGAAAGTAACCGTGCTTGAAACGGAAAGGACAACCTGATGTATGACAAATCTGCCGTGAGTTTTAAGGAAACCTAGAATTCCTGAAAAAGACCTAGCTGACGGGACACGCAGGACAGCAATACTCCAAACCTCACGGCAAACCTAGCCGTAATCTTAAAAGTAAACCAGAACCTTAACGTAACTACAAACTTAACGCTAACCCTAAACTTAACATTAAACAAGACAAGGGGTCTCTGTCAGTGAGTTAGGACGTGTTGCAGTGTATCGCAAGATAGGATTGGTAAGTTGCTCTACTATCTTCGACAGACGTTCAAATCGAATGGCAGTCTACACAAATTCGTAGTCAAAAGCGATATGAGAGACCAAACCACAACGGCCGCAGGTCTTGACTAAAGCTCCGTACGTCAGAAACACCTCGAACCCAACGATCACACTCTCACGCCACACGCATTTCGGGTTGCACGCGGACCAAAGGCAATCACCGGATGCTGCGTAATCACGTGCCAGGCTAGAAACCTCCGGAGTAATTAACCGGATGTGGCGCAGTTATTGGCAAGGCAACTACGTCGGAAAGGCAGACACATTCATCTGGAGGCGAATGGCCGAGCATCAATCAACTCGCGGCTCACTCCAAAGGACCCGGCCACACCTTCATGTTGGGCGCTTCCAAAGTCATCCTTAGTCGCGAGTTGCTTAATTCACAGTTCTTCGTCCGTAAAAAATTCCAGTGCTCTCCTCCAACACTCTTCGCTACCCGGCCTTTGCCTAGTCACGCGGGAAGCACACGAGTGACCGGTACTTCCAGTAACGGTGCCGGTAGTTAAATGGCTGGGCACCTACTACGTCAATCGTCGGCACGGTGATGGAATCACGGACAGGAGCGATCTAGATACGCGCAGCGGAGGTGGTGTCGCGCCAAGTACGAACAACTGTGGTGAAAAAAATGAAGCTGCTAATTTTAGTAATTGTGTGATTGTGATGCAGTGTACCGGAAGCATAGGGCGAATAAAATTTCTCTCCCAACGCTGACGATTAACTCTTCTCAACCGCTCTCCGGAAGTCAAATTTTCACGCTCATGTCCTGGCATACTGGATACGCAGGGCACCTCTTCATGGCAGGTGTTGCAAATCATAAGGATAAAAGGTCGGACACAAGAGTTAGGACCCCTCGTTCTTCAGGTGACCTTGCGCTAAATTCCAGGGAGGGTTCCTATTGCCGTGTCCTAACCCTAACCCTTACCATCTTTAGAGTTTAGGGCAGGGTCACTTTCTAATACAGATAGCTCCATCTTCCCCTGCCCTACCTTTAAGTTATTGCAGGCCAACCATGCCTATTTTAATTTAGTCATGTTCCGGAACGGTCTGCGGTTATTTCCTTCGTGTTTATTAGTTGCCCGTGAACGAGGTACCGGGCTGTTATTGCAGCAGTAATAGTATGCGATGATTAAGCAGAATTCACCGACTTGTCTATCTAAGAGGAGCTCCAGTATGCAGGTAATCGGAATAAGTCATGTTGTTCCCGGGGTTTTTGCTCTATCTGCGGCAGTAACCGTAGCAATATGGCAATGGTTAGCCGAGGAGCTCGACTCCTTTCATGTGAGAACATCCACACACGCGAATCTAGCCCTCATTCCCTCGGTAATAAATGTCAGCCGTAGTCATTTCTGCACGCAGGACGGTTTTACTACCTTTAACTCCGAGAACGCTCAGTTTCCGTAGCCTAACACTCGAAAGGCGGACACCTGACCGTTCAGTCAGTCAGCTACACCGCGGGCAAGCCAGCAGAACAACGAAAACTTCGATGTTTATTCGATTAACTGCAAAATACGACCAGGCAGCCTGGCAACCGACATGTAGTCAGCCTCCCACCGGCGCCTTCACGACTGACGTGCTGAAAAAGTCCGATCCCGCCGACGCACGCACTTTTGTGCAGAAAAGACAGTACTTTGGGGGAAAAAAAGCAGAAGCCCGTGTTTGAATGTGAGCGTGTACTTTTTTGGAGAATTTTCCGGAAGGCCGAGCCGCATTCGTTGTTTAATTGACTGCATAGTAACCTCCAGAACACCTCACTTGCGGCACTCATCAAGATCCCTATAGTCTCCTCTGCTGGCCACTGTAATGAGGATCCCGGTAGGTAGCGGATTCGGTCGACTGAGGAGGCAAAATTAGCTGCTAGATGACCAATTTGCCTTCATGTTTTGCCTCCCTATGAACGGGTAACTCTTGAGAGAAAGGGACGCCTTAATTTTAAAGCATTATTCCCGAATTTCCCGCAAAACCGCCCTCCACTCACTGTGAATAAAAATCGATGCCCCAAAAAGATAGCACCGGAAGGCCACGAACGTGACATGTTGGTCTTAAACTGCAACTTTTGACATCATGGACAGTTGTCTGTGAATTGGATGCAGGATTTTTGTCAGATTTAATTTCCTCCGAAAAAAAGTCGATGATCGAAATCCTAACGGTCAGTAGCGTCACTTTATGTAATGTTTTTAATGGCAGATGTGCACTCACCGATAGGGTTACGGAACGTGCACTTTCCGTTTTCCCTTGGGGCTCATACTAGAACCCTCGTAGGCAGTCGCACAGCGACTAGTAGGATATGTAAGTGAGATGCTACCGACAAAGATGAGGGAGGCCGGAATGACCATTTCTGGCTTATTAAGCGTCCTCAGCCAGTCATACCCAACCCTAAGTGTGGATAACTTGGAATTCGAAGCCGGGATCTTTGGTCATGGAGTGTGACAGTCAACCATTGAGCCACGGGCCCGTTGTCCTGTCGGGTGTGATCGGGCAGTCGCACAATGGAACGAGCACCTTCTATAGCCCGATCGGTGAGTGCCCATCTGTCATAATTAATATTTCCGATCACAACCAATATGACAACGGGCCCGTGGCCCCTGGTTCACTGTGCGCGAACCAGGTATTTGTGCCAGGCGCAGACGGCCTGTTAAGTTCTGCCAGTTACTGCACCGGATCCGGACGTCCGGTCAATCTTGACTCTGTCTTGACACCAGACTGAGGTAGGTGAGGGAGGAACGAGTGCGATAAATACAGCATAAATGTACTCCCACTATAGACTGATTCAGGCACAAGTCACCGTCTCTACGCCGACGCTGTCGTAGAGCAAATGATGGGCATCATCGGAATCGGTGGCCGAACTGTCACCCCTTAACATACTGTCTCCTCGAGAAAAGCGTTTTAGGTAAGATGTGGTTATGCAGCCGCAAGGGATGGCCACAATACTGTTGACCTACTTAATTATTCTAGGTTGAGGTGATTACGTTGGCATGGTATTGCTATGAGTTGCGGTGTGTTTTCTGCTGGCGGCCTTGTTTCTTTGTTGCCGTGTTTACCTTTTTCGGCACAATACCGGCGATCCTTCTTGACTTTCGGCCTGTCGCCTCCTTCTAACTTTCGCGTTGGATGCTTCAGGGTTTGGGTTAGAGCTAAATGGTTAGGGTTGGCGCTAGGGCTAGGGTTAGAGGTAAGGTCTTATTTCGTAGCCATACCTGTTAGGGGTTAGGGTTAGGTATAAGGGTTTGGGGTTAGGGGTAACGACAACTATATCTGAACCATTCAAAGTACAAACCCTCGTTCTCAATAGCTTTTTGCATATAATTACTTGACCTCATCGCTCCTGCGTTCTTCTCCCCCATCTGCAGAATCCCGTATTACAGGTGGCTGGGGTTTGTTTACCTCAGATGCGGCTACATTACCACATCTGACCGCGTTTTGGATGAAGTTCAGAGTAATAGAAGCGAAGAGACGAGTCCCACGAAGCCGTCTTGAAGGAGACACGATCGTTGGGACAAGAGCTTTATTAGTCTGGCGTCTCGGATTCCTGCTCGAAACCATCATCAGAGTCAAAAGCAGATACAGGAGCTGCTTGAGTCATGGCTTACTGGCCCCCAATCCATTAACAAGTGCAGTGATCTTCCCCTTCCATACTCGGGCTGAAACTTCGCCTAGGCGGAGAAATTAGCCACTCGGGGAGCCCACATGTGAACACTTTTCCCAACACCAGGGTCAGCGCGTCAGATGGTCGGGCAATCATCATACCAACACCCAACGCACGTGATGAGATCGCAGCAATTAACGACGCGAATGTCGGCCATCAAGCAGTCATCACACCACGTGCAACAATCCTGTTGAAGGGGGAGCCGTGAACATTGATAGGTATGCGGTAGCATGGCGACTGCATCCTAGAAATACTGCAATCCCTTATGCATGAACCACCCATATCTGCTGTTGTCTCTGATGATGGATTCGAGTAGGAATCCGAAACGTCAGGCTAATAAAGCTCTTGTCCCGGCGATCGTGTCTCCTTCTTCAGTAAGTGCCTTTGTTTTGCAGGCTTAGCCGGCTTTCTGTCTAGTCAGAGGCCAGCGTCAAAGGTCCTTCTGCCAGAGCGTCGGCATTCTAAGGTGTGCAACACTCTTCGCAGAAGTGATGTGAAGATTAGTGAGAAAAAGGGCTGGAAACCGGGCGGGACTTCTTCCTTCGAAAGAACTGACAAGGCGTACTGGACAGAGTAAAGCATTCCGCATGGACTTCCATGGTCAGTAAGTATTTTGCCCGAAAAACAGCCTAGAGTCTACTTCAACATGTTCTCTGTCTAGCAATGTAGGTTATTCACTAAACTGCGGTAGACAGTTAACGCCGCTCCACTTTTTTGCGGAGGAGGGGGAAGTCAAGGGACTTACGGAGTGGCCAAACCCCCTGCGGGTGCGGCATGCAGCGTCAAAAGCATCCCTCCACCGACTCTGTCTTGTAGGTCCGAAGCGGCGGGAAACGTTATATTTAGCCTGCAGTCAGATCCGAGCGATGAACGCCAATTCCCCCATGGACACTTCCGATCACGATCGACTAGCCGTGACGCTGTAGTCAGCATTTGGCGTCGGTTGGTGCATGACCACTGTCTCCTCCGGCCAAAGTTGGAGCAGCCCGGGGTAAAGAGCTCTGCACTACGCCACACGTCCTCTTATTGTGGTATTTGGTGTTCAGTCAACAGCTAGCAGGCGGTCGTTGACTTCGGCTTTGGAAATCCTAGTAGACACCTTCATCCATCTGGTTTCGAGTCGTTTTTTATCTGTTCTGTAGTCTGTGTCGCTCCCCGGTCGCTACTCACGATACACATCCATAATCATGGCGGAGAACATGAGATTAAATGAGGAAGGAGTGGGTACGCTGTCCGGCTTCACTACATTTGTCATAGCGAATGCTCCCACTGCCCACGATGCGCGCCATCATATCGTCGTCTACATTTATTCCCATTTATTTTAATTGGCTCGGACATCCAAATTGCAACATACTTCTCTGGAGTCCTTCACGATTCATCGTGTCGAAGATCCTCGTCAGATCGAAGAATGTGTTGTGGACAGTGGGTCCTCATTTCCCGGTGCATTTCTTGCTGTCGGAGGATCGCGACGATCAGTTTTTTGGTGGTTCCATGGCGTTTTCAAAATCTGCACAGCGTTTCTAGAGGAAATCGGTCTCAACTGGGTATTCATACGACTGAGCAGGGCAGAAGCAAAGATTTCCCGTACAAAGTTAAAAAAAGAGATGTCTCCATGATTGTCACAGAGTTGCCGTTTCCACCATGTTTGTATATATGCAGGATGGTGACGTAACTGAAGCCTTGAGGGGCGTGTCATTATAGCTTTGTATCCTGGAACAGCGAGGTAAACATTTCCATAAGTTGAAGACCGCATTGTTTGTACGTTTTAGCTGGGATCGTGTCAGCTCCCAGTGCTTTACCGTTGGAGAGCTGTTGCATGTCTCCTGAGGCTGCGGGGGAAGGTGCACGACTCAGACTGCCGTCAGTGCCCAACTGATGAGGCCGGTTGATGAACGTTTCACGAACCCTGGACGACTGGCTAAGGACGACCCGGAAGTGCGCTGTCCAGCGCTTCACTTTCTGTGCAAGCGAATGCCACATGGTAAGAGATAAAGAGTCGCGTCG